GGGCCAGGGCCGAGACAACCGGGCTGAGTTTGTGACGTCAACGCTCTCGGCTGCTGATTGGTCGGAGAGAATCGTCACAATCTGCGCGCGAGATAATCCATTTTTACAAACAGCATTTTTGTTAACAGAGGAGCTACAACAATGGCAAAGAAAAGCACACCATGGTCGGTCGAGGAAGTGACGACGTCCATTATATTGCAGATGATAAGGTCCAGCGGGTGCTCGACGGGACAACTCGCAATATCAAAGTCTTTCAGGAGGTCTCTACACAGACACTGGACTCTCCAACGGCGTTACCGGAGTCTGCATGGTACGTTTTTGCTAACGCTGTTATTTGCTTGAAAGCTTTGTGTCCCTGCTTTGTGTCCCTATCTGTTTTAAAGCTCACTTCTAACAAATAAGTCTATTTTATCCTTACATTTATGTTCGACAACCCCGATGGAGCCCCGAAGGCTAGCTAGGCAGATAGCATTAGCGAGAGCTATTGTTTGCTAACACCATATGTGCCATTGTTTACGTTCAGTTTGTCTTTTCTATAGTTGTTGTTGCTATTTATAGTATTGTGCTGCAGTAGTTTGTGGAATTTACAAGTCATGTTTCTGTTCTAGATGATTACATTGGGACTAGCGAGGAGGAACAGTTCCGAACAACGTCCTCTGCATCAACAGCACAAACCGAGGAGGAGAGGATCTGGCCCTGCAGGAACGGCAACTGGCCCAGCAGAATCAATGCCATGTCTTATCTTATTGCTTGTTGATAAATAATTGCACCCACCAGCGATCGCACAGAAAGATGGCATCATCTAGGCGTCCCTCTGCAGTCAGAAATATCATAAACACCATCGTCCACAAAGCACTGTACAGGGGTTTATGGATTTAAGAGAATACTTATCACAGTGAAACCTTTATCATCTGTTGCAATTAAAGCAAATAAGAGAATAAATACTTGGTTAAATAATACATTTTAACTCTTTAGCAGGACAACTCTGCATACTGTTTGAAATTGAGTTTGCTAGCTTGAGGTCCTCCTCTAAAACATAACATTACATATTTTGTAATGGTATTAAGAATACATGATAAATACATGTAGAAAAATTACTCAATTGTAATACCCTCGTTGTGCTAGACTCAAACACATTGCTTATATATTTCAAAGAGAAGAGAACAAAAGAAAACACCTATACAAAGAGAGCGGTGCACAGCGCTTAATATTTACTTGCACTATATTTCTGTTGATCTGGGTTATTGTGTTGCACTGTTGGAGGAGCCTGTGACCTAAGATGTTCATTGTCATAACTACACTAGCTATGTTCGTATGACAAAATAAAAAACCTTGAACCTTGAGGCTGTGTCTTTCAGACAAACCATCATAATCATATTATTTTATGCTGTGGATACTTTAGCCTCCATCCATGTTAACAATTTTTTACACTTGCATTTATGAATATAGTTCTGTTGTGTTTTACACTTTTGTATTTATGTTTATAGTTTGCTTTGATATTTGCTTAATTTATTAGATTATTATTATGGGGGCAGTACTGGTGCTTGAAATTCAAATATTTACTAAATAGTCAATTCTGATAACATTTTTTTGGTTTAAATAATTTGACAAACACATGTATGTGAAAAAGAAAAGATGTATTTATGTTCAATACAATACAATGAATATTTAGGTATTACACGTAGGTTTTCCTCAGGCATCCTGAAGTTCTCCACCCACTGAGTGTGTGAAAGATGGAACAATCACATTCCACCACTCGGTAGCTCGGTCGGTAACTTCTGAAATACACAAACAAAAGCATACATATTTTAATACGTAAAAGTGGTAGCTACAATTAATTAAATACTTGAAATACTTTGGTCGTATAGGGAGAGTGAGCCTAAACACATTGCTAGTTAGCGAACGTTAGCTTACCAAGTAGCATTGTAGTTAGTAGTGATTCGAGTCGTCCTGTAGTCTCTGCGGCGTAGGAGGACTGCCCGAACTCTCGCGTCAGCTTCTTCTATACCTCGTCTTGCTATACGTCGCCTCTTTCGAAACAACTCTTGTCTATTTCTTGTGATAATAAACCACACAGCAAAAAACAAGCAAACGATCGCTTTCACATCTCCATTGTTGTGTCGCATTGAAGATGACGTCACGGCAGTTTTAAGCAGCGTCGCTCCGCCTACACTGTGTTACTATAGATACTGACCCGGTTCCTAAACTGTAATGGAAACGCGCCACAAAGTGAGCTGGTCCTAACGAGGCCGGGCAAAGGAGGCCGAGCGGGGCCGAGCGGGGCCGAGCGAGGCTGTGTAGTGGAAACGCGGCATTAGAGAGCACCAGAACGCGGCTCCGGCTCTTCAGATAAGGAGCTGTACACATGCCGCAGTTTTTGCGTGGCTGTGTCTTTAGTTGTAAGCCCAGTGGCGATCTGCTCATCTGTCATACTGATCATACAGTCAATAACTTTGTTGTTATTAGCATCTGGTTAGCTAGCTATGCTAACGAATATAAGAAGCTTTTTCTCCAACCAGTGAGGTAAAGGCACATCTTTATATGATCATTATAGTTATAAAAACACTAGAGAATAAAGTAAACAGGTATAAAATACTATATGACATTGAAAAGAAGTTGTTAATAAACAAGAGTACAGTTTGATATGTTTTTTTGTTTGTTTTTAGTTTTATCCTTTTAACCTGCAATGCCTTGGTAACTGCATGCAAATTAGCCCATTTTAATTAAGATAAGATAAGAAATGAGATAGTACTTTATTACTAGTGTACTAGTTAACGCCTAGTTTGCATATCAATATGGTAATTGTGATGACGTTATTAGATACACATTTTAGTGTATTCACCTTTAGTGTCTACCCTTAAGCACAGTAGGCTACATTAGCCTGTATGACCATGATACATTGCCTTAGCTAAACCTTGAGCTAACTTATCAATTAGCTAGTAGCCTACCTTAGTTAACTAGGCTATATTTGTTTTTGTCTTTTGGCTAATTAGCTGTAAACTCGAGGCACTGGCAGTTTAGTCATTTGTTCATCACCACTCAGCTTCAAACAAGCCAAGAAAAGCCGGCATAACATGGGACAGTAAAGTGGGAGGTGCTGCTACCTGTCTGTCTGAAGGGACAGTAAAGTGGGAGGTGCTGCTACCTGTCTGTCTGAAGGGACAGTAAAGTGGGAGGTGCTGCTACCTGTCTGTCTGAAGGGACTGTAAGGTGGGAGGTGCTGCTACCTGTCTGTCTGAAGTGACTGTAAAGTGGGAGGTGCTGCTACCTGTCTGTCTGAAGGGACTGTAAGGTGGGAGGTGCTGCTACCTGTCTGTCTGAAGTGACTGTAAGGTGGGAGGTGCTGCTACCTGTCTGTCTGAAGGGACTGTAAGGTGGGAGGTGCTGCTTCCTGTCTGTCTGAAGTGACTGCCGATGTGCGCACCGCTGTGCGCGAGACGTGGAGGGAGGGAGGGTAGAGGGATTATCGCTCAGGTTTTATCAGTGGACTGTGGATTTGCTTTGTGATTTAGGATTTTGGTTTCCCCCTTACTCACTATTTTTTGCTGCGTTTTAATTAGCTGTTCATTTACTCCCATGGATACAATGATCATGCCATTCGCCATTTGTCACCCAAATGTGTCAGAAGCCAGTTCATCCAGTGTGTGGTGGTCATCACTGCCTCCCTTCGTTTTGATGGTGCCCTCAATGTTGATCTGACAGAGTTTTCTAAGTGCATATCAGCTTTTAGACATGATGCGCTGATGCTTTGTTTTCACTCTTCAGTGGGCGGGGCCGTCATTTTGGGCAGGATGTGATGTAGTGCTGCTTGCCCTGAAGATGCTCAAAAAGTACTTTTTGATTAAAATAAAACAGGAACATCATGTTCCGAACATGTATGTGATGTGTAAACGCAGATGATGGATTGCCCCTGTGTATTCAAATGTAAACAGAAAGCAATCATCAATATAGAGTTGTGGATTCAAAATGTCAGTAGAGGAAAATCATAATGTGTGCTGGTCACTAAAATGAAATATTAGGTCATTGCCAGTGGTTATCACTACAAACCAAGTCCATGGATCGAATAATCCTATTTAAATATATTGGTTGGTTGATGTACAGGAGAAATTATATTATATACAGTATATATATATAATATTGACATTACATGTGCTTTATTTTGTAAGGTGTTTCTTTGGTTTTGAATGGTAAGCTTTAAAAAACACATCATTACACATATACTGGGCTGTGATGAGGATGGATTATGATAACATGCTTTATTAAGCAGCAGTTAAAAGTACTACACAAAAACTGGACAGAATACAATGGAGAACAATGAGATTACTGTGGGTTCCCTTACCCATACAACTGTACTATTTGGTATGCCAGAAACAGATTAAGTCATTAAGCAAAACCTACAAGTATGCCCTACTGCATATTGCAGTATGGAAGCCAGCATATGTATATGGCTATTCTGACCCACAATACTTTATCGAGCAAGAGGGCAAAGGTAAAGATGCAATGTTGTGATGAAGTAGTGCAGTGGTGCCCTCTGGACCTGATAGTGCAGCAACACAAATTGCATAATGCATAATACCAATTGAGATTTAATAAAAAATCTTACATTGAAATAAATAGTTAAGTTCTTTATAACTACGCATACAGATACAAAAGAGAAAAAACTTGCATAATTTAAAACAATAATAAACAAGCTATTGTCAGAGTCAGTTATAAAGAATATAAAAGGAGGGCTTACTATTTCCTGCAGTTGATACAATGAATGATATTTACCAATAAACAATGACAATATTACTCATGTCAGACAAAGATATGTTTGAAAATGACTTAAATATATATATATATATTTATCGTAATTCAAATATGAACGTCAAAAGTCTTTTCATCCAATCAGATTCCGCAGCAATTGCCCTGGGTAAGATAGTATAAATAGCCCCGCCTAGAAAAAATACATCCGTTACTTCTTACCCTGGACTCATACAGGCCCTGCTGTGAGAGATAACTTTGCCTTTTCCTCTTCTTTATCGAAACCCTCTGTCTTCACATCTTCAGAAAAATGGTGAGTACGATAGTACAGCTTTTCTCCAATTAGAGGATGTGTATTTAACCAAATGCAGCGCTCTGAACGTCTGTCATCATGCGAAAACGTAACCAGCTTAGCGTTTTTTAACCGCTTACTCTTTAAAGACGACTGATCATTTTTATAGTGAAACAAAAATGTTGCGGTATAAGCTGGTAAATCAAGCTTCGTCATTAATAAGTAGTTTTAACTGTGGTGTTGGTAAATTAAGTGTAACTCGTAAGTAAAGCATTTACAATCGGCCGAATTGTTGGAAATAAATATACTTCCTGTCTCTTTAATGGTTTCATATTTAAAACATGATATTAACACAGATAAAAAAAAATTTCCCCGAATTTCAGTGAACCAGGGCGTTTTTCCAACGTACTGTCTGAAATGATTACTCACTGCCGACATTTAAATAAAATGAACGCTCTGTCTCCCCAAATCTTGCGAGAGTTCTTTTTCCTGCGACGGATTTGTGTCGACCTCGGTTTAGTGTCTTTACATTACATCGCATTTAGCTGACGCTTTTATCCAAAGCGACTTACAATAAGTGCATTCGACCAAGAAGATACAAACTTGAAGAAAACAAAATCATATAAGTACATCAGGTTTCATAGAGCCAACACATTTCAAGTGCTACTCAACTGGCTTTAGATAAGCCAGTCCTTTGTTAGTAAGTGCTTTGTTAGTAATGTTATTGCTCAAAGTGGAGTCGAAAGAGATGAGTTTTCAGTCTGCGCAGGAAGATGTGTAGCTTTCTGCTGTCCTGATGTCAATGGGGAGCTCATTCCACCATTTTGGAGCCAGGATAGCAAACCGACGTGTTTTCTCTAATGTCTTCACATTAGAGAGATGAGAGACATGGTTCCAATTTTTACTTTATTTAGGTCGAATTAGATGATTATTATGTGTGTTTACTTTCTTGCCTGCCACGCCACTAGTCTCCTAAAGGGGTGTGGCAGTGGCGCAATCCGTGTGAGACAGTTGCAGAAAATGTAAATGCGTAGTCTCCTCTCTTAACACTGGCCCACATTCACGTCCAATCGTGCCACCTGTCTGCCAACAACTGCGTCATTGTGCTTTCGGTATTTGACGTATAAACAGTATTTAGCCTCTTTTTGTTTTTAATTATAACTGTCTTTCTGTTCAGATGACAAATGTGTGCATCAGGTGACTCATGATATGATGTTTGGTTCTTATTAAAATAGTAATAGAGCAGTCCTCCCACATGTGATGATATGCCACTAGAATGTATGTTACACACATGTTTTTGCACAAGAATCAGCGACTAGGCTTCCTTTTTATGATAGTTTCTTAACAACCTTTTTTCCCTTTTACAGCGCGAGTGCCTCTCAATCCACGTTGGTCAGGCTGGTGTGCAGATTGGCAATGCCTGCTGGGAGCTTTACTGCCTGGAACATGGGATCCAGCCGGACGGCAGGAAGCCTGGTGACCAGAACATCTCAGGAGGAGTGAACGATTCCTACAACACCTTCTTCAGTGAGACTGGAGCTGGAAAGCACGTCCCCAGAGCAGTGTTTGTTGACCTGGAGCCCACTGTCATCGGTACATTCTCATTAATTATAAATGATAAAAGTATCATAAACCTTTTCCCCCCTCTGTCATTCAAAACCTTCAATAATCTAATGCTCATTACCCTTAGATGAGATGCGCACGGGGACTTACCGCCAGCTGTTCCACCCTGAGCAGCTGATCACTGGCAAGGAGGATGCTGCCAACAACTACGCCCGAGGACACTACACCATCGGCAAGGAGGTCATCAACCTGGTGATGGACAGAATCCGAAAGCTGGTCAGTACATTTAGAACAGAAGTCAATTTTGCTGAAGAGTATTAAATGGAGATGAATCAGTTTATTTCTAAGTAGGTTTTCGCATACAAGGAGTATGCAATCATATTGTGGTCAATGGCAAAAATAAGTATTGCAAAAGCCAAGTGTCATAACTAATAATAAATATGTGAAGTATATGTTTTAAAATGTAGAGCTGTACAGTGTTTTAGACAAACACAAGACATAACAATCTGGTATCACTCTTTCAAAGTGAGCATATTTCCCCGATTCTGGCCCACTTGCATCGGCTTCCTCCACCCTGCAGAATTCAGTTTAAGATCCTCCTGATCGCATTCAAAGCCCTCCATGGTATGGCACCCTCTTATCTCTGATCTGTTTTCATTGAATCTATATGTTTACATGCTGTGCACTAATACGCTTTTTTATCATTAGCTGTGAACCCTTGGCACTGCTGTCTTTGTATTATATAAATACATTTATTATTATTATTTCATGATTTTCTCTTTTTCTTTCAGTCCGACCAGTGCACCGGTCTTCAGGGTTTCCTGGTGTTCCACAGCTTCGGAAAGGGCACCGGCTCTGGTTTCACCTCCCTGCTGATGGAGCGTCTGTCCGTCGACTACGGCAAGAAGTCCAAACTGGAGTTCTCCGTCTACCCAGCTCCCCAGGTGTCCACCGCTGTGGTGGAGCCCTACAACGCCATCCTGACCACCCACACCACCCTGCAACACCCTATTTTTAGCATCACATAAGTTAGCCATAAAGTCAAAATCCACACTTATTGTTTCCCACCAAAGGATATTTGTTAACATGGGGTAAATTAGCCCAGTTACAAGTGTTAAAAGGTACCTATTGAAGTCTATCCTTTAGGCAAGGCAAGGCAAGGCAAGTTTATTTATATAGCACCTTTCAACACAAGGCAATTCAAAGTGCTTTACAAAAATGAAAGACATTAAGAAAATGGCATTTAAAAACAGTCATTAAAAAGCAAAGATAATAAAATAAACATTAAAATGAATAAAAGTTACAGTGCAGTTTAACATTACATTAAGCTGACGTTTTTATCCAAAGCGAATTACAATAAGTGCATTCAACCAAGAAGATACAAGCTTATCATATAAGTACATTAGGTTTCATAGAGCCAAAACATTTTAAGTGCTACTCAACTGGCTTTAGATAAGCCAGTCCTTTGTTAGTATATAAGTGCTTTGTTATGTAAGTGCTTAGTTAGTATATAAGTGCTTTGTTAGTAATTGTATTGCTCAAAGTGGAGTCGAAAGAGATTAGTTTTTAGTCTGCGCCGGAAGATGTGTAAGCTTTCTGCTGTCCTGATGTCAATGGGGAGCTCATTCCACCATTTTGGAGCCAGGTTAGCAAACCGACGTGTTTTTGCTGATGGGAACTTGGGTCCCCCTCGCAGTGGACTTCAGAAATGTCCTTGGAAAATGCGAGTCAAACTGAATTAAAAAGTGTCATCACTGTGTTCAAATTTGACTAAGATTTGCCAGATAAAGTTTTATTTGCATCTGTGTGTCTTTGGCTGCTCTTCTTGCTGAGAATGTAAATAAATACTATATTTACTCACTGACCGTTTTTGTCAGCCCATGCACCTGTCCCTTTGACCCCAAAGTGTCCAGGCCGACTTCATTTAGACAAATTCAGGATGAGAGGGACACAGTGTTGCTGTGGATGCACTCCGGCCCAGCAGGTGGCAGTGGTGTTCATTAAGCTTACTTCATTGTGTGCTTGCTGCTATAAACGTCACACAGAAAATACTTCCTGCTACCTGACATGAAGCTGAGGGTAAAGAGCAGTGGCGGCCGGTCCATAGGGGCGCTAGGGGCGCCGCCCCACCTCTTCCCATATTGAAAAAAAAAAATTAAAAAAAAAATTAAAATTAAAATTAAAAAAAATATATATATTTAAAAAAAATATATATTTTTATTTTTAATGAACAAGGTAAATATTATATAATTGGTATCAGTAAAATGTATAATCTACAATAAAATCTCGTTTAAAATTGTGTTACGATGTCTAAAGTTACTGATAAGTCACATGTTTCCTGCCTGGCCTTGCCCATGCACCTTCTCTCGTCTGGGCGCTAAGAGAGGAGCCTTCAACCAGTGCAGCAGCAGCCACTAGCAGCTGACTGTTGCTATCTGTAACGTGTAAACTATGCCGCGAAAATATAATTTCAGCCAATCAGCGTCGTCAAAGATGACGGTCACCGGGCGCCAATGTCAGCGCCCAGTGCAGTCTGTGAGTAGTTTGGACAGTGACTCGTATCCGGTTGACGCAGTAGTTGATGAGGATGGCTTCGTGTGCAGGTGGAGTCTCCGGACCTCGGTCCCCGCCTAATTCTGTTCAAGAGCTAATCTCCAATCCTTTCGAAAGGAGAAGTTTGGCAGATAAATTGTTGCTTAAAGACCTTGGACCGGACCAACCCGATTTGAATATATCGCAGCAATCTCGTGAAAAAGACAAAACTTATACACGAGGCTTCGCAAGTAGCTGGTACACAAAAAAGGCTTGGCTAGCTGGATGCAAACAGGTAAATGCTGTCTTTTGTTTCCCATGCTTGGATATCACTTTATATGTAGAGAGGAGGTTTCCCATGGTTGTTAGAAGTTTATTAATAAGTGGGCATTTATCACAGAAGTGATTGTTCTGTCTCCACGTTTGTTGCATTGTCTGTGATGTATTTTCCAACGGTTCCTGGTAAAGTAGTAGATGTTCAGGTTGATAAATAATATTTTCCACACTGAAGATTATGGAGGTATTGATCAGTCTTCTCATATTTTTAAGCCTCGATTTCTCCTTTCCCCCCCCCCTCTAACATCACCAGAAGTCATCATTTAAGGGGTCATTTCTCGAAAAAAATTTGCGGGGGGAAACCCCCCGGACCCCCCGGACGGGTCACTCCCGGTACGTCAAGAGCCCCACCAAAAAAATAGACCACCGGCCGCCACTGGTAAAGAGAAGCCTATTTCATTCTCTTTCAGCAGGGTTTATATATATATCTATTACACTGAATGTTTGAGAAGGAAACAGAAATAAAGTCTGCTTTATTTGGATGAACAAGCTTGATTATTTGTGAGTAAGGTAAGTGACTCACTATAACAAACACCAACAATCCTCCAGATGTGTGTGATATTACTGTTCCCAGTGATGGAAGAAGCAGAGGTGGAAGAAGTACTCAGATCTGGTACTTCAGTAAAAGTAGAAGTACCAGAGTGTAAATACTCTGTTACAAGTAAAGTCCTGCATTCAAAATGTTACTCAAGTAAAAGTGGGAAAGTATTAGCATCAACATATACTTAAATTATCAAAAGTAAAAGTTGTCATCGTGCAGATTGGTCCATTTCAGAATAATATATATGATATGTTTTATAATGATTGATCATGAAAGTGTTCTCAAAGCTGGTAAAGGTGCAGCTAGTTTGAATGACTTTGTATACTGCAGGGTAGCTTGTGAATTTACTCCAGGTGGAACTAAAGTCTGATTTAACACTTGATTATATTTCACATCATTCATCCACATCTGTAAAGTAACTAAAGGTATTAAATACATGTAGTGGAGTAAAAGGACATGATTTACCTCTGAATTGTAAATTGCAAATAGAAAATAACCATAAACATCTCACAATATAAAAATGAAACAGAACTAAGAAGTGAAAGATGCAAATCTGTAGACTATCTGTTAATAAAAGTTGGATATTATTAGCATCAAGTGTGTGAAGAATGGCATAATAATTCAATATAAATGTTATCTGAATAGTTATCACCACAATAAACCGTATTTAATTTTGTCTTAATGTCAATTATTTAATTTCATATTTTGTTTTTGTACATATCATATTCTATTTACATGTATATAGACTTCTTGCAGAATTATTTTATTTTATTTTGTATTTTATTATATATGTTGCATTGTTGGAGGAGCTCAGGTCAGAAGAATTTCATTGCCATTTCTACACTGTAGCTTTGTGCATATGACAATTAAACCTTTGAATTTGAATTGAATTTGAATAAATGTACAGTGTGAATATAAGTCCAGTTAAAGGTCCCCTATAATACTGTTTTTCATCAACATATTATAGGATATAATCAGATATATACAAAACATGTCTCTGAAGTGTTTGGCTCCAAATACCAAACAGATCTCTGTTTCATCCCTGTTTCAAAAGTGCTGATTCTCTTTCTGTTACCTTGCCTTGGTTGGTGATTGGCTAATGGTTACACAAGCCAAAACATCGTTATGACATCATAAAGTGGCTAAAATCTGATCAGCTCATTTTCAGACAGGTTTTTATATAAATGGATCAGGATAGAAAGTGAGAGAATCTTTTTTCCTGAAACGTTCAGAATCTCTTTACACAGAGGGGACACATGTTGATGTAGAAAAGACATGAAGTGGATTTTGCATGATAGGTGACCTTTAAGAGCAGAGATGTTAAACACACACTGTGCTTCATCTTCAGCTCTGAGTGGAGATGAAGCCGGAGCACCAGGATCTGGTCCTGCAGGCCTGCGGGGCCTCTTCCCTGTGTGTGGGGGCAAAGATCCAGACGCTGTGGAGCGGGTACGGGGAGATCGTGCGGCTGCAGTTGCAGGGCTCTGATTGGCCGTCTGTGGTCCTCAAACACGTCAAGTTTCCAGAGGAGGCGGAGCATCCCGGCGGCTGGAACACAGATCGCTCACACACACGTAAAGTGAGATCCTACCAGGTGGAGACTCACTGGTACCAGAACTTCTCCACTAATCAGAGCTGCAGGACCCCCGCCTGCCTGGCTGCTCGTTCCTATGGAGACGAGATGCTGATCGTGCTGGAGGACCTGGATGTGGCCGGGTATGATCAGAGGAGGTATGAGATTTTGTAAGAAATACTGGTCGGTCTGTAGCTCTGCAATATATATCAAAGTCAAAATCAACTTTATTGTCAATCTTTCAGTTTGTGTGTACATACAGAGAGATCGAAATACCGTTTCCCACAATCCCGAGTACAAAAACACATATATATATACAAATATGTGTGCAAATATTTATACATATGCACACATTAAGACCTAAATAAAAGCACAACAATCAATATATACAAAATAACAGTCACTTTAATATCTAATGAATCATCATGTTTTACATTTCTTATTTCCTAGATGAGAAGCAGTTGAGCAAAACATACATTTGTTCAAAGACTTTCCGTTATAAATACATCCACATAAACAGCCAGGATTAAATAAATCAATATTGAGGTCATAGGTCAAAATTGATTTTATGTGGGCATGCTGTTAATTCTTTCTTCAGGATCCCATTTTTTTTTTTTAAATGAATGTGATTTTGATTTATAACGTATAACTATCAGTACACAAATGCAATTCTACAGGAGCACCAAACCCTTAGAATTAAACAATAATGTATTTGATCAATCATAGTTGTCTGTCTGGTTGAATTCTGTATGACACTCAATGGCAGATGTATCAGTTGGACAATTAAACACAGAGAACATGATTGAGTTACACTCTGATGTTTTGCTTTGCTAATTATAAGAAAACCAAACAATCCACCTAACAGCAACCACAAAGTATTTGAGCAAAGAGGCACATCTATTTCTGACATGCTGAGCATAGCAGAGATAGTTCAGGTGTTGACGCTCACATGTTACGGTATGCTGGGACAAAGCAAATGTGTCTCTAGTGTCAACGTGATTCACTTGGCTGGATTTGTCAAAGGTGTTGGCTTTCAGGGACCTGTATCATTTCTGAAAGGTACAACCCTATTACGTTCACGATGGATAGCAGGACAATAACGGAGAAAGCCTTCAAGCAAAAGTGACTGGTTTCACCCACATTTATGGTCAGATTATACCAAAAAAAGTAAAAGCAAAATTTGTATTTTTTTTTTATAAGGGCACCATGCAGAGTGTGGACTTGTGCACTGTGAATAGAAGCAAAGGACCAATAGTTTGTGTAACAACAGAGAACCTTACTGTTGTCAAAACACACACTTATCCAACACATTTCAAGGTACTAACATATATTTAAACAAAAATCATCGTAGAGCTTTTTAATTGGGCTAATAATTCATTTCTAAAAATATATAATCTCATTTGTATTTGTCAAAGATTTGTAGCAACATTTAAGCAAATTAAAATAATTTTAATTTGAGCGGTGAAACATTAATATAGCGATTTGAAATCTGGGTCCTGAGATCAGAGTCCTGACACTGTAGCGATCAGAATTTGCCCTTCTTCTTCTTCCAGGGCTTCTTCTTGGACTTGGACTCAATGATCATCTGAGAATGGCGCTTCAGTGCCTCGCGAGACATGACGTCAGCCTCGTCCTCTTCACTGTCGTCCTCTGAGACACAAACATGGGGAGTTTAGATTGTGTGCTGGAATTGTTCTGTCTGTGTTTGTGGCTTCCAACTCACCGTCATTGAAGAGGTCCAGACTCTGGTCCTCAGGCAGCTTGACGCGGGTGTTGTACTCCGGCAGCTTTCCCTCAATCCTGACATAGAACTGCTCAGAAAAATAGCAAAAATTATGTTGAAGATGTATGTTTTATTTTAATATGACTCCTCAAAGTTTCTCAAATAATCTGACTTTACGTTGGTCTTTTTATGACAAATGCAGAATGAAATGTGAAATCCAAAAAAAACGGAAATTAATATTCATTCAACGTTAGGTTTATGAACTCTGTCAAAGACGTTATGTCTTCAGCTGGGTTGTTTGTCTGTCAGCAATTCATGTAAAAACTACAGGTCTGATTCTCATGAAATCTGTAGGAAGGTTGTAGAGTTGGCCAAGGAACAACCCATAACATTTTGGAGGTGATCTAAAATCTTGTAAATGCCCCCTCAATGTTTTAACATCCAACAGTCTGGAAACATTTTGGTACATGACATGTTGAGATGATGTCATGTCAGGCAGAAACATGGCAGATGAATGTAAATCAAATCAAACACTTCTTTGAAGCATCTCTGTTGGTGCCAACTTTGGAAGTGGGACCGTCCGAGCAGCATGTGAATGCACCACAGCTGAGGTCTGCGCTCTCCAGGTGCCATTCTAGTTTTTCACATGAGGCTCTCTTTTTGAAGTCTTATAATATAAACATAATTTCACATGTATCTAAAATGTCCTATTCCATCTTTTTGAAAAGAACTTGAAAAGAGCCAGTTTGAAGTTGTAGGAGAGATTTCTTTCTTCAGATGTATACAACAAACCACTAACCTTTGTTTTTGTAGTTTTTACATTATTATACTGGTCCTTTATATATGCCTTGTATTGTTAACGTAGTTTGGTGTAGGATAAGTGGAGGAGTTTTAGAGTCATGTCTATGCCATGTAACTGATATGATGAGCAGTACAGTAAGTTTCTAGAAGGAAAAATGTACTTTGTTATGGTAGAGGTGCAACCTCTTGACCGGGACAGCCAACTAGTTTCTAACGGTAGCTTTGAATCAAACAAAACTAGAATCTGGAAGATATCAGCTCACAGTTACGTCAATTACAAAGATTATGGCCTCTCAAAATGGATCTGAGGGTAAAACAGTCAATGTCATTAGCAAATGGCCTTCAGACTGGTACACTCTGATATCATATGTTCTCAAACAGAGAGGGTGCTGTCGAGCATTGGTAATCTGGAACAAACACTTCAGGTGGCTCTAACGGCTGCTTTTCCATTCAGATAAGATATGCACGCACAGCAGCTTCCATGCTAACATGCTCAGCCATGCTGTGTTCATGTGTAGCACTGTGCACTGTGTGCGTCAGCAACACCTCCATGCCAAAATCAGATTTTTTTTTTATTCCGGTGAATTTTTGTGCACCAATTAAAAAGATTGATATGTCTCTTCATTTACGTCAGGGAAAAAAAACAGTGCCTGTATTTCTTGAATGAGTGTATATGATTGTGGCGTCGACTCACTTCCTCTTCCTCCATCTCCTTCATGATAGCAGACACATCCTTTCCTCGAAGCTCCTCGTGCAGTAACTTCAGCTTCAGCTCACACTGGGTCATCAGCTCTAACACAAACTCATCTGAGTCTGGAGACACTTCAGCCACCGTGTCCTCTCTCTGAGAGAAACGGAAGAACGGTGAACACACATACTTATGATTGTCAACACACCTTTTGAGAGAAATGGAATAAGAACCAAAGATGGATGCGTTGGTAGGGAATACGTAAATGGACAAATATTAAGGAAAATACAGATTATAAGATAACCCTATAGACATATTTTGTAATTGAATATAAGAGAGTAAAACATTTATTAATTAAAAACTAGATTCCGTAGTTTTTTCCCACTTTTGTTGTAGTTCCTTGTTTGTCTTAATTGGCCTTGTACTGCTACCTTTTTCTCACAATTTAGCTTCTGTATAAGCACAAATATATGAAAAAGTCTTGAAGAGGACCGTATATTGCATAAAAATGTAATTCCTTTAAAAATAACAAGTAACAAAAACAAGTGGCAAAAACATAGACCTACAGCCTGAGGTGGTATTTACCAGCGTGATGTGTTGAAGTTTGTCTGCGAGGTGCTCCACTCCGGCTTGCACAGTACTGAGGGCTTTCACCAGCCACTCCAGACGCTCCTTATCTGCATCACACCTCTGCTGCTGAGCCTGCAGCTGCAGCTCACACTCCTCCAGCATCTGTCTGTCACTAAGAAAACACACACACACAGAGAAAGAGCTTGAGAACAAACACTACAGCTGCATGCAGGCTTTTGTTCCACTTCTGTTTGAGTGTCTCACCTCGAGAGTTCAGCCTCTCCCGAGTATTTCATGTCCAGTTGGTCCAGGAGCTCCTTCTGCTCCTTCAGCTGCTGCAGCACCGTCTCGTTCTCTCCCTTCAGCTTCTCCAGATGCTGGTGTGTCTCCTTCTGTGAGATGAAGCGCTCCACTATCTCCTACACATACATGACATTTTTTTTTTTTACAATATTAATACAGTACACAGTTCACAGGCTATCCTTCTCTTTTTCTCTTCCACACCTGTATGTCTGTGACTCCCGTGGCCTCCTTGATGCGTCGGAATGCCTCCTCAAAAGTGGAGATGACCTTGTCCTCTTCGCCTGCTATCCTGGGGCTGCTGCGCTGAGCCTCGCTGCTCAGCTCGTCGGGCTGCATCGCTGTTCTCTGAGCCTACAGGTGCCGCAGGTTAGAAAACGCATTTCATTATAAAGAATGTCTCTGTTTCACTGAAAATATATATTTTGTAGCCTTTTCAATGACGTCCATAGCTTTAATGAATTGTAAGCATATTTAAAATGCATTATTTTCTGCTCACAGAACTGTGTAAATAATTATTTAGAAATGAATGAATGTTCATAAATACTTCATCATTCCTAGTCACTGACTTTTTGATATAGTTCTCATAATTGTAATACTTTAAAATCACTGTTGCGAGATAATAACTGGGTATTGTAGCGGCTAAAGTACAAGGTAATAAAACAGAACATTTGATTTGTTTTTGTTTTTTTGTTGTGATCCAATAATAATAAACAACATAAAAAACAATGCACAAAAATTATAGTCTTACTTTGGATAATTTTTCCTGCATAAGATTCAGGATTTGGAGTGGCAGTTTTTATAAAGTTTAATTTTCAGTTTTCAGTGGATATTTTGGTTGATTTCGGGATTAACTGCGTTTTAAATGAATTATTACATTTTACAATGAAAGCCACGTCGGAGCATGGACGGGCTTTCACATGAACTACATCGGAACATCTGCAGTGTGTGCACGTTTTCCCTAGCTGCTGAATAGGACAATGGCCTAACTATGGGAGTGCTAGAGTCATTGTTTCACATTTGATTACTCCAATTTCACTACATCATTTTGATTATGACGTTTTATGATTTATGTGCTAAAAAGTTATAATAAAATGCTTTGTAATGTAAAATTGTGACAAAGCATTATGAGTGACTGATTAAACAGTGCTAAAAGCAGATGAAAATGCATTATAAATATGTTTGTTTTGCATTTCTGATGGTGATCAGAGAAGAGATCACCACCAGAACAAAACCATTCACTACGATAAAGTGTACAATATACACCTCTGCGTTTTGCTCACCCTTCTATCGGTTTTTTCAGCCTGGGCCTTGCGCTCCTCTACCTTCTTCCTGTAGCTTGCTATAATACGCTCTCTCTCCTTGCGCTCCTTGCAGAGACATTCCTCCAGCTGCTGCAAGTCAGCCTGCAAGGCAGAGCAAATGGAAGAAGAGATTTAAAGAAAGTTGAAAGAAAATAGCTGTTTGCACACCGCATAGCGATGAGGTAGGCTCATTTATCTGTACTTGTAAATGCATCAAAATGAAAATGACAAAACACTGAAAAATGTTTTGTATCCGCTTCACTTGTGACTCATATCACTTATTATATTAGTGTAAGTAATTATGAGTGAATCATTTTTGTTACGCCTTTACTGGCACGCTGCAAACTCATATAGGAGCAGAGGAGGGTTACAGGAACCTTAGCAGCTTCCTTGGAGAGCTGAGCGTTGTTGTTCATGATCTGCTTGTCGTGAAGCTCCTCTCTGTGCTTCAGGATCTCTGCCTCCAGACTGTCCAGCTGGCCCTGGAACGTCAGACTCTCATGCTGAAGTGGAAAAGTGAGAGGTAAACAAAAGAGAGGACAGGAAATAGAAAGAGTGAAAGGGGTGGGGAGAGGACTGTTTACAACCACTGTATGAATTATTTACTGGCTAATCTTTAGGTTTGGAACAAAATAACCTTTTAATTAACACCTGCATTAATAATGAAACTGATAAGAGGGTGGAGTGATTTAAGTATCTCAAAATCACCCTGGACAATAAGCTGAGCTTTGAACAGCAAAGAGCTGACATCATACACAAGTTATTGTTAAGGGATTTTTGCCCATTTTTATACATTTTTGGTTTACTCAAAATAATTACATTTGGCACCAAATCTGTTTATCAAAGGGTCTCAAGACAAAAAATGCTGCAACAGCTTAAGAGACATAATCATAAGGTTATAAGCCCTTTTTTACACTCTAGACTTTCTTTTTGAATTGGTGCCTGATCAAAAAACTATTTTTATTTCTGATTTATTACTAGGAAAACTTGACACACAGTGCCAACCTGCATCTTTAAAATAATATTCAGATTCACAGTTTCAAAGGATGAACACTATTTTGTACAGTATAGCACATACTGTTGACCTGCAAGCTCACCCAAAGGATAAACCAACACTGTTCTAAAACCAACACAAGAGAGCGTTTTTTTGTTCAAGCTACAGAGATGCAACTGGGCTTTTGACCTTCTTTGACCTCCAAGCTGTCACATCGGAAATATTTAGCTTTTGTTGTATGCCGCACATTTAACATGCCCACATCACATCACGTTGTAGATACAGTACTTTTTGAGGTTAACCTTATTTATTTGCCCTTGCATTACTGTTTACTCCTGTGGTGCAGAAGGAGGACTATCTTCCAAAGATTCCTCTTTCTCAGCCTCCGCAGCGGGAGGTGGCGCCTCCTCGGTGTTTTCCTCCTGCTTTGCCACCTCTTCTTTCACCTCTGCTTCTTCTTTCTTTTCAGCCTCCTCAACCTGACTGACTGTTTCTTCTTCTTTGTTCTCCTGTTGTGGCTCTTCGGTATCAGTCGTGGCCTGCAGAGGCTGCTCCTCCTCGTTTTCCTGCTTGAGCACCGTCTGCTGTTTCAGTTGGATTTCTCCGTCTTGTTGCTGAAGAGGGGTCTCCTCCTCCAGTTTCACCTCATCCATTGGCTTTGCAGGATCAGCAGAATCCCCCTGCTCGACCCCATCGTGGTCTTCCTCCACCCTCTTGGTTTCGGAGAGGATGTCGTGCAGCTCGGGCGACATGAAGTAAGGCCTGTCTGACGAGCCGTCGTTTCTCTCCAGGTCCTCACCTTTTTTCGTTTACGGGGATGTGTATTTTGTGTTTTTTTTTATTGGGTTAATGGAAAATGAAAGGGAAAGGGAAACATGAAATAAAAGGGAGTGTATAAAAATAAAGTCAAACGAATGGGAGGAATGAGACAAAGAGAATAAGAGTCAGAAACATGGCAGGAAGGAGAAACATGCATTTTAGCTCGAGGAAGTTGTATTAGTGCTTGGAAAAAGGAAGAAAAGAGGAGATCTGACTGAATTCAAATGTACTCACAGAAGCAGAGGAACAGTGTGTCCACACACATGGCGTACACGCTGAAGAAGCCATGGGCGATGAGGTAGGATCCCACTACCAACGTCTAGGGGAAGGAAATCACAAATATCAATACAAAATCAAGACTTCTGCTGTGGCAATAATTCTCCCAGACTACCTCAAAAGATTATTATACTGAGTTTAAGAACGTTTTGAATATTTTCTCTTGCCTGCCATATATTATAATTTTGTGAAAAATCTTGTTCTGTCCAAGACACTGGGTGTTTCTCAATCGCGAGTACGCTTGCTTGGTAGCACATGTCTGCCGAGCATCTTGCTTCAGAAGCGAGTCAAGAATACTTCCTGACATTCGGAAAACAAAGAGTGGAACAGGCTAGCAAGTGTGCAGGTGTGCGTCATATGAGAGGCCCCGCCTTACATCTTCCGCCACAGATTTGGGAAAATTGGTCCGTGCGCAAAGCATTGTGGGGATTTTAAGACCGCGGAGTCTACTCATGTGCAGCCTCGATATTTCTCCAAACGGAGTACACCGGGCTCGGTAGATTTCCAAGTATGCTGGACATTGGAACAGTACTTCGGCGGCACTCGATGACATAGTATGCTTGAAATAGTGGCTCTGCAGCAGCTTTACTCGTGATTGAGAAACACCCCCAGTCAAAACACCAATGTTACTCAGTTCACATCATTTAGAAAAAGGAAAAGGGTAAAATACTCTCATTGGAGAAGCTGTAACCAGCATACATTTAGCCTAAAAGCACACTAAAATCATTATTACTCCTTTGATTTCTTCCTTAAAGTGGACCTATCATGCTATATTTAAATGATATATTGTAGGGCCATACCTATATAAGGTATATTTATACGTTTCTGTTTTCAAAATACCAAACAGATCATGCATTTTAGCCATGCCTCATTTCGCTCTATGTGCTGTTTGCTGTCTACGGGTCTGATTCTGCTGACCACGCCCCCCTGCAGGAGAGGTGAGCCGTGCTCTGATCAGCTGCTAGGCTGTCAGAAGAGGGGGAGAAAAAGAGATCTCCGTCCTCCGTGTTTTATTATATAGAGTCGTTATTCATTTGTTTTAAAGCTCAATAAATAACAAAGAAGACCTTTGACCGGCACTTTTCTAATTTTGTCCGGAAGATTTAAACTTTAACAGACATCTTGACCGGCGAAAGAAACTGAAACTGAAACTCTGCCGCACGGCCCCCTCGTTCCTTGGAAGAGGCGGAGAGGTGGGTGTTTGTCATCTGCTGGTGGACTAATCGGAGAGAATTACAGTGCTTGCCTCGACGGGGATTACTCAGCTGACCAGTACATTTATCAAACATTATTTAGAAAAATGTATCAAAAGTTGATTATCAATCAAAATGTTAAATATTTGCTTTAGGGACAAAATGCATTAACGTTAACCGATTTGTTTATTGACAGAAAATGAATCACCAAAAATCCTGACGATGGATTAAGTATTAATCTCAATGAGTTAATAAAATAATGTGACCACTTATTTGCTGGCTATAGCTTTGACAAAGTAAAGATTGGCTGCTTGTCATGTTTTTGTTTTTTTTCTTTAAATTACTGTATATCTAACATCTCTGGATGGACAAAACAAGGAATGTAAAGATAATGTGCTGAGCTCTTGGAAACTGTTGTTAAAAAAATAAACACCAAACAGTTAATCCAAGAGGAATACAGATAAATCAGCACTGAAATTACAGCCATAGGATTTGGTGATGGGGACTCGTTGCTAACGCTGATGAGAAGTACATGCAGACAGAGTCGTACAATTGGTCTTTTCCCTACAATACAACAGACAAATATAGCCTCTGGCATTTGAATCTGTTGACATTTTTAAGATTATATCACAACACCTCCTCGCTCTCACACATTTTAATATTTCCATGTTTCAATGGTGAATCCTCCTACATGTGAGAAACCCTCCTACGTTCACTGTGTGTGTGGGCATCCGTCCTGCTCTGCTTGACCAAGAGTGGAGTGGAGACATGTATTTATGCTTTCACTTCTTTGCATGATGTCCATGCCTGACATCCATACAACAAAATCATGACATCAAGAGAAGTTGTTACAGTAAACTGCATTGAAGGAACAAAGCAGGTCAGTCATTTTAGTTTTTTCCTCACCTCGAGCTGCCCATCCGTGTCCAGTGACTGGAAGCTGGTGAGCCACACGCCGGGCTCCGTGTCCGTGTGGATGTGTCCACTGGGCCTGGTCCACAGCAGCTTCTTCATCCTGCCCACCCTGCTGCGGAGGCCGCGGGAGTCCCCTCCATCAGCGCCTCCACCCACAGAGATAAAAGTCCTCATCTCCAGCTCTGTGTCACGCTCACGGGCCCACACACCGAGTCAGATCTCCCCCACACCTGCTGCCTCATCTGCGCCAGGGAGGAGGGCAAGAAAACATTAGTCCCTGGCTGTATCAATTTCATTTTGTTTTTATTACAACCGTTAATGCAATCGCAGCTTAACATTTGAAACGCAGTGTTCCTAAATGTAAAATGCCAATGAAGAAAACATATGATATCTAGACTGAGCTGAGGGGGAACCCTCTTTACAATTGAATAGCAGGAAACAATCTGTGTTGCAAAAGACATGCAAAACAGATTGCGATCACTACTCTGTATTGTTTTTACTGAGATGGCCTTACTGGCAGATGCTCTACAAGTATATTTACTTTATTTGAATTGTATAATCGTCATAACAAATGGTTTAAAATGGCCACACAGAATAATTTATAAAAATATTAAGACTGTAATTATGTACAGAATATAACTTTTAATCAATGCTCAAAATTACATAAAAATATGTCTTTAAAAGAAAGTAAAAAAAATCTACAAATTCCCTTGCAACCATCGCTCTAGAAATCCATGCATCTTCTATAGCAGCCTCAATAAACAAATCTGGCATTCAAAAAGGTACTTTGAATACAAATAAAAACATATTATCCCCAAAACAAATGTACCGTAATCTTTCTCCTCATGAATCTGCATCTCTTGAGTGTCGATGAAGTCCATGTTCAGAGCCCTGTTGGTTCAGGCAGAGACAGTGTGAAACTTAGAAGGAAGAGACTGTGGCATATATCAGAGGACTGATTGTTCTCTGTGATTGTGGGCGGATGATGCTCCGCGCGCATGTCTAACCGTGCGCGAGTGTGCGTGAGTGTGTGTCAGCTTGGCCTCCTTCCCTGGTTGGATCTGCACTGTGATATATAATTATATTCCATTTTGATTTCATTTCACTTCATTCCAGTTCACTAGCTTCCTCATTAGAATGAAACAAACTCATTGCCTCCATTTTTTATATTCAACATAAACAGTGTTGAATCACTGTTTTGACTTGACTACTTTCACATTTCCATAGTTTGGTTAAATTACTTTTTTGCATTGTTCATATAGTTAGCTATTCAAACTACAAAACTTAGGGTCATAAAATCTGAGAATTGATGTTGCTTTTTGACAGTGTTCAAGATGTTCTGACCATCTAAAAGTTCAACTAGAATAGTGAAAATTGTACAGGTCAGATGTTACAAAACGAATAGGTAAGACAACAGGTCTATTTCTTTTAGACCATTGCTCAGGTTAACAGGAATTAAAGGAGCTAATTAAATATGTCTTCAATGCAGTATTTAATTATTATTTTTTGGTCTATTAATGTGAACAAGTGGGAACTTTTTGAAATAAAGTAAATTGATGGTATTTGTGCTGGAATGTTTTCGTAAGACATTTAATTTCCAATTTGATATTTTTTTTACAATTTAATTTTAACTACTTTTTCTACTGGTCATGTTTTAAGTTAACCAAACTATTTGTAAAGTTTTAGGCCAAGGATAAACCTGATGCACTAACTGCTGTTAGTTTGCCATGAAGCTTCTCAGCCGCAGAGCCTTGAGTCTGGCATGTTAGCAGCAAAGAGGATCGGTCTCATAAGAGTTTCATGAACTACTCAGTCATTTGGTAGCATTATTGTGGTTTAACACTGTAGTTATGTAGAGAGTGAAACAAACACAGAAGCACAGACATGGATCAATTCAATCAGCCCAAAGAAAGTGCTCAGAAATGCAGATTATTTGTGTGAGTGTAGCCAATAATTAGCTAACCTGAACTCGACTGGCTGTGATGGGTTTACATGTTTCTTACCTGTTAGTAGTTATCAGTAAATTGTTCAGACAGGGTTTATCTGTAAAACGTGACAAATTCATCATTCAAGGCGTCTTCTACAGAGTGATGGTACTACATGTTGGATTGGAGGCCTGATGGTTCTCACGCTGCTGGCGGCGATTCAAAATCTGCAGCAGCCAGCGCCCACAGACCCGCCCCCGCTCACAGATTGATCGAACAACGCACCAATGAAATCCCTTGCTACAGGTAAACACGGACAATCGGCACGTTTTAAACTTTTGAGAAAAGTTATTTATTAATCATCAGTGAATACTTTTAATATTTCTGAGATATTTGATTTAATAATATGTAGTGTAGCATAGATAGACAATCTTTGTCGTTGTCAAAATATTGGGCAGGAATACAGTTATAATGCATTTGCCAAATGTGTGATGAAATGTATTGTAGGTTATTTTGTAAAAAAATATTGACCTATGTTTAATGTTTGCTTTTTGTAGTTTTTTATTCTTCTGTGTGTGTCATGTGACTGAGTCAAATCCAATTAAATATTGATTTTGTATAAATAATCTATTTTTCTATGATAACATTTTCTGTCTTATTTTAGGAGATTGATTTTATGTGGGCATGTTGTTAATTCTTTCTTCAGGACCCCATTTTCTTTTAAATGAATGTGATTTTGATTTATAACGGATAACTATCAGCACACAAATGCAATTCTACAGGAGCACCAAACCCTTAGAATTAAACAATAATGTATTTGATCAATCATAGTTGTCTGTCTGGTTGAATTCTGTATGACACTCAATGGCAGATGTATCAGTTGGACAATTAAACACAGAGAACATGATTGAGTTACACTCTGATGTTTTGCTTTGCTAATTATAAGAAAACCAAACAATCCACCTAACAGCAACCACAAAGTATTTGAGCAAAGAGGCACATCTATTTCTGACATGCTGAGCATAGCAGAGATCGTTCAGGTGTTGACGCTCACATGTTACGGTATGCTGGGACAAAGCAAATGTGTCTCTAGTGTCAACGTGATTCACTTGGCTGGATTTGTCAAAGGTGTTGGCTTTCAGGGACCTGTATCATTTCTGAAAGGTACAACCCTATTACGTTCACGATGGATAGCAGGACAATAACGGAGAAAGCCTTCAAGCAAAAGTGACTGGTTTCACCCACATTTATGGTCAGATTATACCAAAAAAAGAAAAAAGTAAAAGCAATATTTGTTTATATATTTGTTTAATATGTTAATATTATAAGGGCACCATGCAGAGTGTGGACTTGTGCACTGTGAATAGAAGCAAAGGACCAATAGTTTGTGTAACAACAGAGAACCTTACTGTTGTCAAAACACACACTTATACAACACATTTCAAAGGTACTAACATATATTTAAACAAAAATCATCGTAGAGCTTTTTAATTGGGCTAATAATTCATTTCTAAAAAGATATAATCTCATTTGTATTTGTCAAAGATTTGTAGCAACATTTAAGCAAATTCAAATAATTTTAATTTGAGCGGTGAAACATTAATATAGCGATTTGAAATCTGGGTCCTGAGATCAGAGTCCTGACACTGTAGCGATCAGAATTTGCCCTTCTTCTTCTTCCAGGGCTTCTTCTTGGACTTGGACTCAATGATCATCTGAGAATGGCGCTTCAGTGCCTCGCGAGACATGACGTCAGCCTCGTCCTCTTCACTGTCGTCCTCTGAGACACAAACATGGGGAGTTTAGATTGTGTGCTGGAATTGTTCTGTCTGTGTTTGTGGCTTCCAACTCACCGTCATTGAAGAGGTCCAGACTCTGGTCCTCAGGCAGCTTGACGCGGGTGTTGTACTCCGGCAGCTTTCCCTCAATCCTGACATAGAACTGCTCAGAAAAATAGCAACAATTATGTTGAAGATGTATGTTTTATTTTAATATGACTCCTCAAAGTTTCTCAAATAATCTGACTTTACGTTGGTCTTTTTATCACAAATGCAGAATGAAATGTGAAATTTCTTGTAAATGCCCCCTCAATGTTTTAACATCCAACAGTCTGGAAACATTTTGGTACATGACATGTTGAGATGATGTCATGTCAGGCAGAAACATGGCAGATGAATGTAAATCAAATCAAACACTTCTTTGAAGCATCTCTGTTGGTGCCAACTTTGGAAGTGGGACCGTCCGAGCAGCATGTGAATGCACCACAGCTGAGGTCTGCGCTCTCCAGGTGCCATTCTAGTTTTTCACATGAGGCTCTCTTTTTGAAGTCTTATAATATAAACATAATTTCACATGTATCTAAAATGTCCTATTCCATCTTTTTGAAAAGAACTTGAAAAGAGCCAGTTTGAAGTTGTAGGAGAGATTTCTTTCTTCAGATGTATACAACAAACCACTAACCTTTGTTTTTGTAGTTTTTACATTATTATACTGGTCCTTTATATATGCCTTGTATTGTTAACGTAGTTTGGTGTAGGATAAGTGGAGGAGTTTTAGAGTCATGTCTATGCCATGTAACTGATATGATGAGCAGTACAGTAGGTTTCTAGAAGGAAAAATGTACTTTGTTATGGTAGAGGTGCAACCTCTTGACCGGGACAGCCAACTAGTTTCTAACGGTAGCTTTGAATCAAACAAAACTAGACTGGAAGATATCAGCTCACAGTTACGTCAATTACAAAGATTATGGCCTCTCAAAATGGATCTGAGGGTAAAACAGTCAATGTCATTAGCAAATGGCCTTCAGACTGGTACACTCTGATATCATATGTTCTCAAACAGAGAGGGTGCTGTCGAGCGTTGGTAATCTGGAACAAACACTTCAGGTGGCTCTAACGGCTGCTTTTCCATTCAGATAAGATATGCACGCACAGCAGCTTCCATGCTAACATGCTCAGCCATGCTGTGTTCATGTGTAGCACTGTGCACTGTATGCGTCAGCAACACCTCCATGCCAAAATCTGATTTTTTTTTTATTCCGGTGAATTTTTGTGCACCAATTAAAAAGATTGATATGTCTTCATTTACGTCAGGGAAAAAAAACAGTGCCTGTATTTCTTGAATGAGTGTATATGATTGTGGCGTCGACTCACTTCCTCTTCCTCCATCTCCTTCATGATAGCAGACACATCCTTTCCTCGAAGCTCCTCGTGCAGTAACTTCAGCTTCAGCTCACACTGGGTCATCAGCTCTAACACAAACTCATCTGAGTCTGGAGACACTTCAGCCACCGTGTCCTCTCTCTGAGAGAAAC